TTAAAAAAAAAAAGAGGCACACTGGGTGTACGTCCATGCATGCCCCAGAACCCAACAGGATAGATAAATGGAAGGAAAGGAAAGAGATTGGTGGTGACCGTGCCCCATGGGGGGTGCTTTCTCCCTCTCCCTTCCTCTTGCTCTCTCTTTCTCTCTGTTTCTCTCTGCCAAGCACACAAGCCCTCTGACAAAAGTGAAAAGAAATGAATACCACACCAGGCCTGGCGTCTGTGGCACAGGCATTAGTGTACTGGACTGCAGAGCTGCAAGCCACATGCTAACCATGGTTCGAGTCCCCCACCCAGTTGGTCTGAAAACACTTTGGGTGTGTGCATGCACATCCAGAATCCTAGCAGGCTGAGGGAGTAAAGAAAGGGACCACTGTGTGACTGGCCCCTCGGTAGCGTGCTTCTCTCTCTCTCACTCTCACTCGCGCATGCACACATACACACATGCTTGTGCTCTGTCATGGATTTAAAAAAAGAAAAGAACAAAAAACACATCACTCATATTGGTACATAATGGACATATGAACCCTATTCTGGAAGGTTGCAGATTTTTCAAAATGAAATACTCCATTTCTGACTCGTCCTCACCCTGCCAGCTCCTGATGGAGACGCAATGCCAGAGAATGGCAGAGGATTAACTGGCCACCAACATGGGAATGCTTCTTGTCTGTTTTCTCAGGAGTGACCACTGTGTTATCAATGACCACGTTGATGATTGGGTCCCGCACTTCTCTTCCCAACACCAACTGCTTCATAAAGGCTATGGATGTGTACCTGGGGATCTGCTTTAGCTTTGTGTTCGGGGCCTTGCTGGAGTATGCAATTGCTCACTACAGCTCGCTACAGCAGACGGCAGCCAAAGACAGGGTAAGAGTCTGAGGACTCGAGGACTCTGTGTGTGGCCTGCCATTGTGCCACAGGCCAGTCCATAGGAATGAGCTGGGCCTGAAACACCCCCTAGATACTTTACACTTTGTAGACTATGTCATCTTCCCATGAGTCTCCTAAGGTAGGTATGAATATTATCACCATTTTGTAGGAAAGGAATTTGAATCATAAAGAGGTTAAAGTAACTGAAGTTCCCCAATAATGAGAAGCACAATGGGAATCCAGTCCAGATCTGCTAACTTCAAAGCCTGAGCATCTGGCCTTTAGCATATGCTCTGTTGTCTAGAGCAGGCAAAGCATGCTGGTGACGTATGCACAGGTGCCAGTAAGCAGGAGACCAGGACCCCACATCTGGCTTGCTAGCCATTTGCTAAAGCACTGAATACCACTCCCTGTTAAACCTAATCATTCCATACTTAGGTCTCTAACCACTTCATTAGCTCAATACCCACTTACTTATTTTTGCTGAGTCCAGTCTTCCAAGCTAACTGCTTTGTCTACAAACTAGGGGACAGCAAAAGAAGTGGAAGAAGTCAAAATTACTAACATCATCAACAGCTCCATCTCCAGCTTTAAACGGAAGATCAGCTTTACCAGCATTGAAATTTCTGGCAATAACGTTGACTATAGTGACTTGACAATGAAAACTAGTGACAAGTTTAAGTTTGTCTTCCGAGAAAAAATGGGCAGGATTGTAGATTATTTTACAATTCAGAACCCCAGTAACGTTGATCGATATTCCAAACTGCTGTTTCCCTTAGTTTTTATGCTAGCCAATGTCTTTTACTGGGCATACTACATGTATTTTTGAGAGACCATTGGAATTTTTGATGCCATAGGTCTTCAACAGAATAAGGTAATGACATACATGGTATTCTAGGCCAAGTGTGCCCCCTAACCCAGTGATACTACGGGTAACTAAAACAACATTTGAAAATTTCTCAGAGAGTGGACCTCCCAACTATTGATACTATTCTAAGCTGTGTAGAAGTCCTGGTATTACAAGATCTTCTATAGAAACATCAACCCATTCCCATTTCATCTTTACGAAGGGCATCCCTGTGGAGCACGCAATTATAAACCTACTCAGGGCTGACTGTTTTCTCAGTGGCTCCCTGGTCTGCATTTACCTCGTGAAAAAAATGGGAAGGAGATTGTTTAAAGTATTGGCTGACCCTCAAGTGCCGCGGGTTGCTTCTACATTACTCATACATTCTATTTACGAAATGTCCATAGTGCTTATAAAATGCACTATTGCCTATTTAGAAAGTAACACTTTCTAGTTTCTGTTTTGACTGAAGTGAAATGTGAGTCTAAGGCAATTCACTGGAAGTCACTGCAGTAACTCGATACCAAGATGATCTTTAACACATTATTTAATACCCCAAATTGTCGCCAGATTTCGGGAAGTCCTATCATTGCAAAATCAAATGGAAGTAAAGAAAATTTAGTGGATCAATAATCTAAAACATAAATCCCTTATTTCTAAGACATAATAAACGAGAAGGACTCTGCAGGTTTATCCTGCCATTATACATGCCTTAGAGTTTTACTGCTATATGCACATCAGTTTTAAACTGTGACAAAGCCCTTCTCCCACATCAGGTGTGGAAATGGAAGATTTTTTTATAATTTATCTTGGGAATCATAATATGGATTCTGGCCCTGGAGACTTGCAGAATCCAGTCCATTTCCTAGGGCTGACATAGTCAGAGTCTTCTGTTATTCTGTCATTTTTGCTACTCTGACACCGAGTAACGCTTTCTCAGCACAGTCCACACATCCCTCCATGAGGAGCTTCTATCCCTATGCAGTCATGCCCAGGAATGCTGCTCATTAGTAACAAGTGCTATTACCCAGGAGCAAGTGGCCTAGCTCAACTCAGCTTGGCCTTGCTCAGATCCCTGATTCCTCTAGCTGAACCACTTTGAGTGGCTTATCTTACATGAGTGGAAGAATGTTGGCCTGAGCCCTAAACGTTCTGAGCAGCGATGGGAAATGTTTCAGAACCTATGTTCAGGTGACAGGTGAGCTGTCTTCTCCAAGGCCAGCCAGTCGCACCCTAAATAAGGAGCATGAGTGTACACCTCTCCCTGTTCCTTGATCATCCTCACCCGATATCACTGTAAGAGGTGGTTTACGAATGTGCTCAGGTGAAGACTTCCAGTTCACACCCTCAATTATTTTAAAAATTTCCACCACTTTTGATTCTTTAGTTTCCTTTTCTAATAAATGCATAGCTTTACTCTACCTTTTAAAAATAAACCATGGCAGGGCCAGCAGGTGGCATGGTGGTTAGGGTGCTGGACTCCCACATGGCCAACCACAGTTCAAGTCCTGTACCTGGTGGCTTGCTTTCTCACTTTCCTTCTCTCTCTCTCCCTCTCTCTTTGTCTCTTTCTGGTGAGCACATAAACCCTATGGCAAGTTTAAAAATAATAATAATAATTAATAAAGTTAAATAATTCTTTAAAATAAAAAATAAACAACCAAACTATGACTTTAGAAGATTATTTTTCTTCTGTAACTTCCTGTATCCATAGATTCTTATTCTTTTGCCTGTTATGGTGCTTCTGACAATCAGTTTCTATGGGTCTGATCACTTGATCTTTTAACAAAATGTTTCTATTGGGATGGGGGGATTAAAAGTGGTAGAATGTGTTTGCATAGTTCAGTCATATTTATAATTTTTAAAAAATTCTTTGAAAGAAAATGTCTCTCTGAAACTCCACTTGAGCATCATATAAAGGCGTGAAACTATGAAGTAAATGCTCCTATTAGCTGCCCACCAAATGAAGTGATCAGCAATAGAATGAGTGTTAGAAGATCCCATTGGAAAAGGTACATATCATCATGCAAACTTGGTGCGCTCACTCCCATCATCCTCAAGTTCGTCACCCCAGACAGTAACTACACACACACCCTGCTATGTCCTGCCAAGGGAATGGGAAGCACTGGCAATACAGTTGACATTTTTCTTCGACATCACTGCACCACAACACTTACCTTGCAGTTAAACAACTGAGCCTGCTGATGTTCAATTCTCTTCTCAGGCCTCTTTATTGTTTTGATATTCTTCTTTGTTCTTGTTGAATATTTTTATAGTTTCAGAGTACACTTTAGGGAAAAAAAAATTCTTGGATTTTGCATCACTCTGCACTTTATATAAGCTACATTAGAGTTCTCAGTAAAAACTCCTAATATTCTGTCTGTTCCATACATCCTACCTCCCAGAGCAGTAGCATAAAACATCTGAATTAACACTTTCTTCAAAACATGTATTTCTTGGGTGAAAATATCAAGACTGACCCTATCAAATTTTCCAAAGATAAGAAACTAGATGGGTTGTGAATATTCTAAATTATGTAAATGTAATTTTTAATTACCTTGATACTGAGGATAGCAATAATCTCAATGTAAGAAGTCACATGATATAAATATAGGAAGATATTTGATAACAAGTAAGTTATTTGATAACAAGACAGAGGGCTCATCTCAAATGAGAGAGAGGGAGCAATGGAGAAACAAACGTATCAGAAAAGAGCTTGAGATTGCAGTGAAAATGAGTAGACAATGCCAGAGGGTGCCATTAGAAAAACGGCACAGAATGGGCTTTCAGTACCAAGCAAGTACAGTGACAAGTACAGTGATCCGTAGTTACAGGGAGTTTGACATCTGGGATTGAGACATGGTCCTTCTTCAGTGTTGTGCAGTCTTCTAACATGTAACAGAACAGTTCTTCTTAACTGCTGCCTATAATGAATTTTCTCTTAAGATTATTTATTTCCTATTCTTTATTATTATTATTTTTTAATTTGACCAGAGAGAGACAGAGAAAGAAGGAAGGTGAGAAAGCAAGCTACCATGTCAAGGACTCGAACCAGGGCCAACCATGTGGGGAGTCCAGTGCCTTAACCACCATGCCACCTGCTGGTCCCATAATGAATTTTTATCAGTCCATACCCCTTTTGCTGCCAAAGGCCCTTGCCTCTTAAAATATATACATTTTGAGTGCCAGGAAGTGGTACAGTGATTAAGGCGCTGGACTCCCAGATGGCCAACCATGGTTCAAGTCCCAGACCCAGCAGCTCAAAAGTTATGTTAGGCATGTGCGTGTGCACGCCCAAAATCCCAAGAGGAGAATGGAGGAGAAGGTATTGTGGTGTGACCATCTCCCTGGGGGGTGAATTCTCACTTTCTCTCTCTCTCTTTCTGTGGCAAGCACATGCACACAAAGCAACACACACACACACACACACACGCACACACACACTTTTTTCAAGTTGACTCTCAATGAGAACACCACTCCAATTCGTGATCACTATAATTTATGTGTTATACTAATGACTTTTAAAAGAAAATTTAAAAATACATATTTTATCTACTTTAAAATTATTTAATATATATGTTAAGTTACATATTATTTTCAATAGTTTTTATAAATAATTTAGATTTCTGAACCGTAGTATATTTAGGATGAAAAACATTGAGTCCAATTTTGGCCCATACTTTTAAGAAGGATTTATACAAACAGGAAAAGAGAGAAAAATGACAGAGGTTATTATAATCATAGAAAACAAGTCCAGTGAAAAGGAACTCTTGCACCTTGACACGCAAGACTGAGTGATAGTAACTGTCATTATCAGTTTCAAGGAGGATTTTGTACAAGGGACATGCTGTTCCACTATTCACCTGAATAAGCGAACTGAATAAAAGTAAACAGGCATAAATGAACTTAAGAAAAACTGTTTATAGGGAAGAAAATGTGCACGTTGAATAATGAAATGCTCGGATTCTCCATCTGGAAGTTCCCCATGGGTAGAAACAATCATTTCTCCCCTTCGATTTTGCCATTCACCTGCCTGAAAGCAGCTCTATTCTACCAGGTAGTCTTGGGAGGGTATAGATGCAGGGAGATGCCTCTGGCTGAAGAAAATTAAAGTGTCATACAAAGTGTAACTAACAAAAAATGAATGCCTTAAGTTACCCCTGATAACCCATGAGGTTGAGCTCCAACATTATGATTTCTTTGTGGGGACTTGAAGAGGAGACATAAGGTTCTTTCCTTTCAGCACTGTGGCGGCAACTGTGAGTATGCTCAGGCCTCTAGTGTCCTCTGCTGTGGCAAAAAGAAGATCTGGTTGGACCCCAATGAGACCAATGAAATTGCCAATGCCAACGCCCGTCAGCAGATCCAGAAGCTGATCAAGGACCGGTTGATCATCCACAACCTGTGACTGTCCATTCCCAGGCTCGATGCTGGAAAAAACCCTTGGCCTGCTGGAAGAGCAGGCATATGGACATAAGTAAGCGAAAGGGTACGGTCAATGCTAGAATGCCAGAGGTGACCTGGATGAGGAGAGTGAGGATCCTGCAGCGGCGGTGGCTCGGAAGATACCGGGAGTCTAAGATTGACCACCACATGTATCACAGCCTGTACCTGAAGGTGAAGGGGAATGTGTTCAAGAACAAGCAGATTCTCATGGAGCACATCCACAAGCTGAAGGCAGACAAGGCCCACAAGAAGCTCCTAGCAGACCAGGCTGAGGCCCGCAGGTCTAAGACCAAGGAAGCACGCAAGTGCCGTGAGGAGCGTCTCCAGGCCAAGAAGGAAGAGATCATCAAGACTCTGTCCAAGGAGAAAGAGACCGAGAAATAAAGCTCCCCATCTCTTCTTGTCTGTACATAGTAGCATTGGAAGTTACTCAGATAATCGTTTAAATAAAATAAGCCTTTATCTGCTTTGAAAAAAGAAAGAGAGACATGACTTTCAGCTTTTAGTGACTTGGACTTGGTACAAGTCTTCACCATTAAATCTCATTATTTATAATTGTGCCTTTTCAGAAGCTTGAGAAAAAGCAATCCCACTGGAAAATTTAAAAAGAAAAAGAACATTAAAAGTGCGTGTTGTTCCATGGTCTCTATGATCTTAGAGGTCATCTTCATTTGCAAACCAGACGTCTGTTTTTCTCTCTTAGTGAACACTAGAGCCAAGAGCTAAAAAGTCTTGGAGAACCAAGTGGTCCATTTCCTGCCCTCACAGCCTGCTTCTTACTCAGGTCGTCAGGTGAGCTTTATAGGAAAGTTTCCCAAGAACTGGCATTTCATAGCTCATCACATGAACCTCCATTTTCATCTAGAAGTTTCTGCTCCTATGCAATACTAAAATGTGGCTAACATACCTTTCACCAAGTTACCTATCACAGAACTTTGTAGAAAAAAGATCACATGGGGGACCAACAATGGCATAATGGCTGTGTTGCTGGACTCCCACGTAGTGGACCTCGGTTCAAGTTCCAGACGCAGCAGCTTAAAACTCATACCAACACATGTGCATACATGCTCAAGGTCCCGAGAGGAGAATGGAGGAGAAGGGATAATGGCGTGGCCATCCCCCCGGAGGGGGGGGGGGATTTCATACTTTCTGTCTCTATCTCTCTAGCAAGGGCATATGCCCTATAGTAAAATCACTCTCTCAAAAAAAAAAATTCACACAGCAAGTCTGAGATGATTATCCTTAGAAAGGCCTGTTTGCAAAGTTGGCATGGGCTACTATCTGGGAACTTGTTTTCAAGAGGGTTCCTGTCATTCCCTAACTGCAAGGGTGGCCCAGTGTGCCTAAACTGTCTGTACAAACAAGGTGGTACATTCTGGCACTCAGGCGGCTTCCGGGAGTCTGGAACTTTGGTTTGTACTAGGCAGAGTGTGCCTATGGAACCAGCTCCCAATGAAAACCTTGGACGCTGAGTCTCCGATGAACTTGGCAGACACTATTTCACACATGTCACAATTCAGTGCCAGAGGAGTAAGGACATCCTGAGTCCTAGCTGGGGAGAGCGGACTCTTAGAAACTTGGGCCTGGTTCCTTCTGGACTTCTCCCCACACGCCCTTTCCCTTTCCTTGTCTGGCTATATGTCCTTCTGCTGCTATGATAGCCCTGAGTATGACTATATGGCGAATCTTATGAATTCGAGGGAATCAAGGGCTTCTCTCAGGGACTCCAGAGCAGTGGTTCCCAAACCTGGCAGATAGAGATTCGCTGGTGAAGTTTTGTAGACAGACCCCAGAGACTTACTCCACACCTATGGACTCAAGACTTGTATTTTTCTTTCTTTCTTCTTTCTCTTCCTTTTTCTCTTTCTTTCTCTCTTTTTTTGTTTGCTAGAGGGCACATGTGTTTACCAGTTAGAAACAGAGAAAGAGAAGGAAAGTGACAAAGCAACCCCCAGGGAGCGTGGTCCCAGTACAATCCTTTCTCCTCCATCTGTCCTTTTAGGATTTTAGATACACACATGCATCTGGTCTGTCTTTCAAG